AGAGAGAAGGAAAATGGAAAATGTTGAGAAGGAAGAGAAGGAAAATGGGAATTTTGCAATGAGAAGGAAAATGGGAAATGTTGGATTGGGAGAAAAGGAAAATGGGAAATGTTGGAATGAATGAGAAGGAAAATGGAAAATGTTGGGAAGGAAGAGAAAGAAAACGGGAAATATTGGATTGGGAGAAAAGGAAAACGGGAAATGTTGGAATAAGAAGGAAAATGGGAAATGTTGGAAAGGAAGAGAAGGAAATGGGAAATCTCTTGGAATAAATCCCATTTTCTGGGATGGAGAACCCTTGCTCAGTTCTCCCAGCAGATCCACCAGCACATCCCAGCTGATTTCACCACAGGCTGCATTTGGGAATTTTTTGCTTCCAGCAAAACCAAGCCGATTTTTCCTGCTTTTCCTTCAGGATTATCCCAAGCTCAGCCAATCCTACTATTCCCTGCTGGAAGTGCTCACCCAGGACCACATGAACTTCATCGCCAGCCTGGAGCCCCACGTCATCATGTACATCCTGTCCTCCATCTCCGAGGGCCTCACCGCGCTGGGTAACTCCTGCTGCTCCTTCCTGCCCTTCCTGGGGTTTGGGGAGGGATTTTCCTGGGATTTGTAAAAAAATCAGGGTTAAAAACCCCATTTTCCAGGTGGGGATTGGAATTTTCCAGGTGGGGATTTGAATTTTCCATGTGGGGATTCAAAATTTCCATGTGGGGATTCAAAATTTCCATGTGGGGATTCGAAAATTCCGTGTGGGGATTTGGAATTTCCATGTCAGGATTCGAATTTTCCCTGTGGGGATTCAAAATTTCCATGTGGGGATTCAAATTTTTCGTATGGGGATTCGAATTTTCTGTGCGGGGATTTGGAATTTGAAGCTGGGATTTGAATTTTCTATGTGGGGGTTTGAATTTTGCGTGAGGGGATTCGAATTTTCCGTGTGGGGATTCGGAATTTCCATGTGGGGATTTGGAATTTCCGTGTGGGGATTCGAAATTTCCACGTGGGGATTCCAAATTTCCATGTGGGGATTTGAAATTTGAAGCTGGGATTTGAATTTTCTATGTTGGGATTTGAATTTTCCATGTGGGGATTTGAATTTTTCCATGTGGGGATTTGGAATTTGAAGCTGGGATTTGAATTTTCCACTTGGGGATTTGAATTTTCCGTGTGGGGATTTGGAATTTGAAGCTGGGATTTGAATTTTCTATGTGGGGATTTGAATTTTCCGTGTGGGGATTTGAATTTTCCATGTGGGGATTCGAATTTTTCGTATGGGGGTTCGAATTTTCTGTGCGGGGATTTGGAATTTGAAGCTGGAATTTGAATTTTCTGTGTGGGGATTTGAATTTTCCGTGTGGGGATTTGGAATTTGAAGCTGGGATTTGAATTTTCCACGTGGGGATTCAAAATTTCCATGTGGGTATTCGAAAATTCCATGTGGGGATTCCAAATTTCCGTGTGGGGATTCGAATTTTCCGTGTGGGGATTTAGAATTTCCGTGTGGGGATTCGGAATTTCCATGTGGGGATTTGACACCTCCCACAATCCTGGATTTTCCCAACCTGGCCTTGGATGCTTCCACTTT